TGTATTAATTATTCAGCTGAACCAACTGTATGGGCTGAACTCAGCAAATTGAAGCAGGACAGAGGTGTGTACCATCAAAAAACAACGTGATGGATAAAGCACACACCCAGGGTACATTTCCAATAAAGAGATCTCCCCGTAACTCATGGAAATTATCATTAACACCTCAGGCAGCAAGGGTACTGAAAGGAATCTTGTTGAAAGTGGAGTTAGTCTAAATGAAGAACTGATTTTTACCCTAGGCTGGGTGAAGGATTTGTTTTATCATATGTTGAAAGCCTGAAATAGACCTGCCCTCTCAGATAGATTTAAATGAACCATGAAACACATGTTTTTGAAACCACCAAGCAAAAGTAGACAGAGAGGGCATACATAGTTGAGGCTGAAAGATTTGAAAACCTTTATTCTGCTAGACCCTGTATTCCCATCATACATAAATAAATGAGTCGTAAAATATTTCAGGAAGCTGAATTAACAGTAAGGAGATGGGGGGATAAAACAGAATTATAAATAGTCTAATGAAAATTTGGAGGGAAAAAATCCTTTCTAATTCAGGACACCGAATGATGAGGACAATTTTTTGCATGTGCTTCCTCTGACCCCAAGTCTATCATATGTAATACAAGCTTAACCACATCCACCTTTATTTTTCAGGAAACAAATCATGCAGCTAAGTGAGCAACTGAGAACAGTTCATGAATTTCAAGATCTGAACAAAACAATAATAAGACTGAGGAATGAAGCAGACCTCTTACTTGAAGACCTTCAGGAGGGAATTGATCGGCACTCCAGTGCCCATAATGCAAGCATCATGGGTAAGAGAGAAAATGTATTTGAACTGTCTATTTCTGCACAGTGTCATGAAACCTATAATGCATTCCATTAGTGAGTTACTCTGTGTTTTCCATCATAGTCCCTGAGCACCTTAGAAGTGAAAACACACCCATTAAAGGTATGATTTGTACATGAATATTTCAACTTTTTAAACATTGCAGAGCTTGGATACCATTTGCTCAAAATTACAAGCAAAGCAAGCAGTGCCTGACACTAAACAAATACTAAATCTCAAAGTAATCTTCTAGTGTCAAACTCTGCAAAGGGTCTTAAATAATCAGCAACTCAGTAATTCTAATATAAACCCACTGCCATTGAATTGATTCAGACACATAGTGATCCCCTTTGGGTTTCCAAGGTGATTAATCTTTATGGAAGTAGATTGCCCCCATCTTCCTCCCATGGAGTAGCTAGTGGATTTGAACCACCAACCTTCTGGATAGCAGTCAAATGCCTTAGGCATGCACCACCAGAGCTCCTTAATTCTAACATAGGCATAAGGAAAGGAGAGAGATGTCCTGATCCCTTTCTAAGTATAAGCCATTCCATTTTCAGCAACCATAAACACAAAAGAATGTAAGGCAAAAAGGAAATAAACACATTTCTTACAAGAATATTCTAGGCATTGGAGTCATGAAACATACTAGACCTCTAAATTCATATCACACACCCGAACCAAACCCACTGCCCTCAAGTGGACACTAACTCCAGAATAGAACAGCCTCATAGGGTCTCCAAGGTTGTAAATCTTTACAGAATCAGACACTTTTCTCCTGTGTAGCAACTGCTGAGTTAGAACCACTCACCTTTTGGTTAGCAGCTCAGTGCTTTAACCACTGTGCCATCAGGGCGCCTTTCATATTGCATAGTTCTTAAAAATGAATGTGGGTCATGCTAAACCCAAGATCACTTTGGAGAAGAAATGAAACTTTAAAGCAAGACTTTCACTAGCTCATCGCCTAAGAAGAGATCCCTTTTATGTTTGGAAATATTTGCAAGAGAGGCAGCATTGAGCTGATTCAGACCTAGCCAAACCAATTGAGAGCTACAGGGAAAAAATACATGAAACCAGTCTCTAGCCAAAACCGTTGGCTGTTTCTCCTTATCCCGTGCATATGTTCCTTTTTCATCCAATCTTGACCTAGAAGAGAAAAATCAGGTGGAAATTAGGACCCTACAGGGAAGCCTAAATTTAGTGAAGCAAATTCCAGCAAAGATCTATTGCTGATGCTCAGTAAACACCATGTAAAGAGTAAAGGGAGTCTCTGGGGGGTACAGATGATTGATGTGCTTGGCTGCTAACTGACAGGATGGAGGTTCAATTCCCAGCCAATGCACTTCATGTGCAGCCACCACCCACCTGTCAGCTGTGGCTTGTGTGTTTCCATGATGCTGAACAGGTTTCAGCAGAGCTTCCAGATTGAGACAGACTAGGAAGAAAGGCCTGGCAACCTACTTCTAAAAATCAGCCAATTAAAACCTTATGAATCACAACAGTTTGATCCTCAAGAGAATGTAAGAATTGGATAGGACTGGGCAGCCTTTGGTTCCACTGTGCATGGGGTTGCCATGAGTCTGGGATAAGCTCAACGGCAGTGA